GCACTGCTCCCTCCACTTCTCTTCTGGCCTTCACTTCCTGCTGATGTCCCCAGATAGTCTTCCCTGGCCGCCATCATCACCACCCCGCCCCACGCCCGCTAACGCACACACACCATCTCTGCACAGGTGTTTGGTGCCTGTTCCTTTGGGAGCCACACTCCTTCTTCATCACAGATCCCCTTTTGCTACTGAAACCGTCACATCTTTGGAGACAGGTTCCAGCTTTCTGCTTTCAATTTCTTTAACATGTAGAGCAGAATTCTTCATGCAGTAGGGATGAGACAGGGGAAAGTTACCTTAAACCAGGTGTCCTCAAACTACGGCACACGGGTCACAAGCAGCCCACCCCCTGGGTGTTTTTACCGCAGTTGCCTGTCCTGCTTAGCAGCCGACTCATCCCGGGGCCCACAGTCTGGCCCTCCAACAGTCTGAGCGACAGTGAACTGGCCCTCTGTTTAAAAAGTTTGAGGATCCCTGCCTTAAACACTGAAGATTCCCAACATGACCAGTGTGAACATGCTGCGAGAGTCATCTCTCCCCCACTCCCTCCACTCCGGAGACCAGGCGCAGACATCAGCCTCACTTGCCCTTCCTAGTGGCTCACCTTCCTGCTTTATAAATAAACTGTGGTCTATTGGAGCTGCAGTGACATAGTCAGTTCAGCTGCTACCCCTGGAGAGCAGCGACATAGCCTACATTAATCTCTTGACCTAAAAATCCTGCAGAACGCTAGCACTCCCTAGTATGTGCTGACCAATATAAATTCTCTGATTAGAAGCAACGTGACGAGCTGCAGTGGAGATCAAGGGGGGTGCAGCATCATCCAACATGTGGTAAGCACCTTGGAAGGCCTGGCACTGGGCCACTCCCACTGGGTACTATTCTTTTCAACATGACATCAAACCTAGGAGAGGAGGTATTATTTTTTCCTCCATTTTGCAGAAAATAGGCTCAGAAAAATAACATGTATTTTTCCACACTTATGCAGATGAAGTCAGCGCACTGATTAGAACCAAGGTCATCCTGATAATCCCTGTGCCAGAGCCCTTTGAACAATGTCATAATATCCTCTGAAACACAGAACGGCAAGAAATATCACTTTAAAGATGCTCAAAAAGCTAAACTAAAGGGCAGATTTACATCCCTAGATGAATAAGTTTTATACTAGATACATTCCTCATTTCAGTAAACTCTAAATTACGATAGTATCTGTAAAAAGATTCCCACAATAGTTATTATTCTAATCCTATTATTAGGCTAAATAATCATACTATACTTAAGTAGTAATGTCTCTCACCAAAAGATCAAGGATAAGATAGGAAGTGACTAATTCTTAAAAAGACATTAATATTACATTATACATTGGGAGTGGGGGATGGGACAAATTAGGAATCCCGAAAGGTATGCAGCAGATGCAAGAATCATTTATGGGCACACGACAGATTCAGCTGGGGCGGGCAACTGAGGAAGGTTGTCCTGAAGCTCAGGACGCAGCACTGCCACATATGTGAGGACCTGAACGTCTAAATCCCTCTGAGGCTTAACTCACGGCAAAGCACCTGACCGTGGTAACACTGACCTCTGCTAACCCCACCTCCTCCACAGACGCCACACTGACAGAAAGGGAGCAGGCACCAAGGATGAATGAGGCTGCTTCATCAAAAAGGAAAAGTACACATTCCCTCTTGTCCCTCTCTGGCCCCCACCCCTGCTGGGACAGAAACTGGGCACTCACCACCAGCTCACTGAACATGACGTCCAGCTCTTCCCCGGGGGGCATGGGCAGCGCCGGCTCCATGGTCTGCAGTGCAAAGTTGCTATCGTTTCTCAGCCGGTACGTGATTTCTGGGTGATCATTGTTTCGGAAACAGCAAAAGATGAACGAAATACCCCGTCCGCCTCTCTTCCTTGGGGCCATGGCTGAATCTGTTCTATTTCTTGATGTGACTAAACTCTGGGAAAAAAGAGGACATGGTGTGATTAGGACTGCAAGAATGAACAAATATTTTTAAAAGGTCAGATGAGTTCAAGAAAGAGCCCCCCTGTGCTCTGTGCAGGGCACAGAGAGGTGTGGGATCCCGTGGGGGCAGAGAGCACACGTCCTCTGTTCATCTGTCCAGTGTCTGCTGTGACCAAGTGAACAGTACGACCTAGCCCTGCCTCCCACATTCTCCCTTATCACACTGACACTGGTTATTTTGTGGACAGCGCACTCCCGTTCCTGCCACCCGGCTTTGTTCTTCTTACTCTCCTTGAAGAATAACCTTCTCTTCCTTGCCAGTAGGAGATCTCCCACTGGTCCTTTAAATCTGATTCCAATTTCTCCCCCTTTACCTTCCAGGAGTAGAATGTATAACATTCTTGCTAAGGCGTATATATCCATTTATTCATTTCATCTGTTCTCTGAGTGTATCCTCCTGGTAGACTGTGATAAAGGGAGGGTGGGGCTGTGCACCAAGCACTTTACAGCCCCAGGACCCTCACAGCACTAGGAAGTGAGGGGGCATTCTGTGAATCCACTGTGTTGGATAATTTAAATTCATAACAAATCAAGAGTGGCTTAGCATAAGCTAGAAGGACCAGAGATTTTTCAAACAGAAAAGATGAAATGAGTGGGGAAATGGTTAAATAAATTATATATAGTAGAACCTCCATAGTTGACCACCTTTTTTTTTTTTTAATTGTTGGGCATTCGTTGAGGGTACAACAACCAGATTACATTGCTTGCATTTGTTAGGGAAAGTCCCTCTTATAATTGTGTCGCACCCCCAAGAGGTGTGCCATACACCATGACCCTCCCACCCCTTCCCTCTCTCTGCTCCTCCATTCCCCCACCCTTACCATGTACTAGCATCAATTTTCCTGATATCAGAGTTAGTACATTGGATTCTTGCTTCTCCATTCTTAAGATGTTTTACTAAGAATAATGTGGTTTAACTCCATCCAGGTTAATAGAAAAGAAATAAAGTCACCATCTTTTTTAGTGACAGAATAGTATTCCATGTATATATATACCATTTGTAACATAACTAGCTTGTTAGTCCATTTCTGGGTTGGTGGGCATTAGGTTGTTTCCATAATTTGGCAATTGTAAACTGAGCTGCAATAAACAATCTAGTGCAAGTGTCCTTATGGTAAAAAAATTTTTTTCCTCTAGGTAGATACCTAGTAATGGGGTTACAGGATCAAATGGGAGGTCTAGTTTGAGTTCTTTGAGGATTCTCCATACTTCCTTCCAAAAGGATATTAGTTTGCAGTCCCACCAGCAGTGTAAAACTGTTCCCTTCTCTCCACATCCACACCTGCATCTGCAGGTTTGAGACTTTATGATGTGGGCCATTCCACTGGGGTTAGGTGATATCTCAGGATGGTTTTGATTTGCATTTCTCTGATAATTTGGGACATGAGCATTTTTTCATATGTTTGTTAGCCAGTTGTCTGTCTTCTTTAGAGAAGGTTCTATTCATCTCTCTTGCCCAGTGATACAAGGGATAGTTGGCTCTTTTATGTTGCTTAATTTGAGTTCTCTGTAGATCCCAGTTATCAAGCTCTTGTCTTGATTCACAAATGCAAATATCCTTTCCCATTGTGTAGGTTGTCTGTTTGCTTGCACCTCCTTAAGTCGACCTAATTTTCACAGACTAGACATGTACCACACGAACATATCAGTACAGCAGGCCTAGCTCCTTATGTTGGCCAGTTTGTGACAGTCGCTGGGGTGGTTGACTGACAGAGCATATACTGCATATTCACCTAATAGAATATTACGCCCTCATTCAAAAGAACAAGGCATCTGTGTATATAGATAGGGGAAAATTTTCAAGATACTATATGATACATACTGCATACTACAAGATTACCTGTTTTAAAGAATATAATATTTATGAATATACACAAGAAAGTATTAACAGTAGGTAAGCACAGAAATAAAAACAGGGTAGGCACATTGTTCCTTTCTACTCCACACTCTTTATAATTTGAATTTTTACCACAAGAAAAGTTTTAAATAATTGTAGAGATGTTTTTAAAGATAAGTTATGTAATTATGTAATTTGGAAAAATTTCTAAGTGACAACTGTCAAGTGAAAAAAAAAAGCAAGTCAAAGAAGAATGCGCGAAGCATGATGCCAAGTGCCTTCTTAAAATAATCTCCTATGGAGACCTCATTGCTTCCATACAGGTTTGTTTCCAGCAAAAGGTCTGGAAGGATACAAAGCAAATTCCTAATTCTGAAAGAGGAACAGGATTGGGAAAAGGCACGGAAAGGAATGTTCCTTTCATGCTACTTTTTAAAAAATGAGCATGTATTCATATATATATAGTATAGTGTATATTGTATAGCATGTATTCATATATATGTTGTAGGCTTTCAAATTTTAAAAAGAAATGAAGTTAAAGGAAGGGGGAAAAAAAACGGTAGGATGAGAATTGGCCCTGTACAAGGTGGAAGGGCAGAGAGCAGCACAGCTGAGGCAGGATGGTGGCAGGAATGGGGTGTGGGTGGTCCACACACTTCCGAGTCTAGACACAGACGAGAGACCAGAACAGGTGTGTCCACACTGAACAGTGGGCAGTTCTGGACAGTAAGGAAATGCATGTCTTCTCTGGCTCTGTTTTTGTTCTGAAATCCCAACCCACCAATTTATCACATCCTCCAACTCAAGAGATCCCAGTTCCAAAATCTATCATTAATTTCTTGATTTGTAGTTAATACTATGACATAAACTTGGGTAAAATCTCTCTAAAACAACCAGCATTTGCAAACAATTCTAGAATGGAGTCCTCCCACCTACTGTGCACAATGCAAGGGTAGATTTCAAAGCAACTAAGAGGAAATTTTCAATGTCTTATCGCAAAAAATAAGAGAGGCGATGGCTGTGTTGTTAATCAGTTTGATTTAAGCATTCCACATTGTATATCATATCATCACATTGTGCCCCGTAACTGTACATAGTTATGCTTTTAATTAAAAATTAATTTTAAAAAATTCTAGAATGGAGCCTTCCACTCCTGTGAAGGGAGAGCAATCTCTGATGGTCACAACTGAAGTCTCTGGGAAGGGTTCCCTGGTCACGGCCCTCACTGGCTCTGAAACAGAGGATGAGCTAAGACGTCCACTATCCTCCCTGCTGACACCCTGAGACAGTGCAGGACTGGGGATTCCTCTGGCAGGTGGCATGAGCGCCCTCCATGCGCCTGAGCGTGTGGAGATGAACAGGCAGCATTGGAAGCTCACCCAGGGGGACAGTAGCTCCCCAAAGGGTGATAGCAAAGGAAGCAGGACACAGCACAGCCACAAGTGCCAAGTCAACAGAGCAGGGGGCTTCCAGAAGAGACTCTGGGGACGGCTGCTGATGGAGATGTGGAGATGCGGGGAGAAGGCAGAAAACGGGGCATTCAGGCAGAAGAAGAGTGTGAGCCTGCGGTGGAAAGGGGCTGTGCTGAACACCTCCAACTTCTCCGAGCAGGGCCCTGTGCTCTCATCTCCCTGATGAAAATCTGCCAGTGGCTCCCCAGTACCACCCTAAATTGCCTTCCAGTGTCCCACCAAGCTGGATTTCAGTCCAACTTCTCTGTCTGTTCAGAGATTAAGCTTATCCCAGACTTGACTCAACAGGCCACCTCCCATGCTCCATGACCACCGTGCACTCCTCTCATCTTCCACCTAAGTGGACCTCTCCTTCCTGCCTGCCCTTGTCTTTGTCCGTCAACATCCTCCCAGCAGGCAGGACCAATGCAGAGAGGACACAGCACCAGGAGCCACGAGCACAGCTGGTGGCAGCTGAAATTCAGGTCAATGTTTCTGAAGGGCAAGTATCAAAACTTTAAAATAGTCACATATTTTGACCTAGTATTTCTATTTCTGCAAAACAGGCTAAAGAAATATCTGGTGATACTACTGAAGATGTTTTCAGAGAAATTTTCAAAGCGTTATCTAGAATAGCAAATAAAAGAATAGTACTAAACAAAAAGTGTAAATTATGGCAGAACTAGATGACAGGCCACCTAGCAGCCCTTTGCAAATGAATATTTAATGACATGCAAATACTTATAACAAATAAAGGGAAGTACATGGTGTCCCATTTTTTTTGTAAAGAAAAAATCACATATGTAAGCAGGAAAAAAGGACAAGAGAAATGCAGCAAAGTGTGAGCAGCAGAGACTCTGAGGCTGAACAAACAAGAAATTCTGTACTTCCCAAGTTGTTACCATGGAGACATACCACTTTCAAAATTAATAAAATGGGATTTTTTAGAAAAGAAACATTTATATGATTACTTACTTCTATTAGAGGGGGATATAAACATCTAAAAATGTTCGTATCAAAAATATCCAACTTACGGCTTCTCAAATATCTGTGGTAAAGAACTCACTGTTTCCCCTCCAATCTGTTACAAAACTGATACTTTTATAAAATAGAGTAGAAATGCCTCAGCAACATCAAATTGCGGTAAAGTGTTTCATCTGAGTTCTTGCAGGCAGCACAGGCAGCAACAGCAGAGATGGACACGTGGGTGAGCACTTATCACAACCTAACTGTCGTGTTCATTGCACCGTGTGCTGAGGGCAGGACCAGTGTCCCAGTCGGAGGCCTCCTGCACGTCCTGTCCTCAGCAAACTGAGACTGTTCAGGGATCACAGCCAGGGTCTGCATGACTGGGTGTGCGTGTACACAAGGTAGCAAGCAGGGTTCAGGATACTGGGAAACCAGGGCAAGGAGGTAAAGCAGGCTAGTGTGGGCAGGGCCAGCTGGCAGAGGGCTGTATGAGCCACACAAAGCCTTAGAGTTCACTTCCGGCCCCCTCTTCCAGCAGTCTTGCTAACCTTCCCAACTGGACATGGTCTGGTACCCTCATGATGTAAAGCTAAAGCTTAGAGTGCTTTGAGATCTAGGTCTTTCTTCCTTCATTCAACAGTCAGCCCAGGAGAGAAAATGCCCACGACACACGTCAC